CTATAGCCCAAGTGGCTAAGGCGCCAGCCATATACACTAGAGGTGGCGGTTCAAATCCAGGCTGGACCTGACAGACAATGACAACTACAACCTAAAAATAGCTGGGTGTTGTGGCAGGTACCTGTAGTCCCAGTTACTTGGGAGGCTGAGGCAAAAGAATTGCTTAATCCCAGGAGTTTGAGGTTGCTGTCAGTTGTGAGTTGTTATGCCACAGCCCTCTACCCAAGGCTATAGCTTGAGGCAAAAAAAAAAATAAAAGATACTGTCCAAACAGAATGTGTGTGTGTGTGTGTGTGTGTCTGTGTGTGTGTACACACACAGGCTTGGCTAAGTCAGGGAGGCATAGTGCTGGGGCCACTTGTAATTCCTTTTTTCTTTTTCTTTCTTTTTTTTTTTTTTAGAGACAGTCTCACTTTGTCATCCTTGGTAGAATGCCATGGCATTACAGCTCACAGCAACCTCCAGCTCTTGGGCTTAGGAGATTCTCTGGCCTCAGCCTCCTGCGTTGCTGGGACTAGAGGCGCCCACTACAACGCCCGGCTATTTTGTTGTTGCAGTTTGGCCAGGGCTGGGTTTGAACCCACCAGGTGCCCTACTCACTGAGCCACAGGCACCGCCCTTTTTTTTTTTTTTTTTTTGAGACAGAGTCTCACTTTGTCATCCTAATTACAGCTCACAGCAACCTGAAACTCTTGGGCTTAAGCAATTCTCTTGCCTCAGCCTCCCAATTAGCTCGGACTACAGGCCCCTCCACAATGCCAGGCTATTTTTTGGTTGCCATTGTCATTGTTGTTTAGCTGGCCTAGGCTGGGCTCAAACCCACCAGCCTCAGTGTATGTGGCAGGTGCCCTACTCACTGAGCTACGGGTGCTGAGCCCAGGTCTGTTTTTTTTTTCTTTTTAGCCTTTCAAAAGTGTTTTGTTGCTTAGATTTCCACTTTATCTGCTTTCTCATACCCGCCCTCCTGCCCTTTGAAGCTTCATACAGAGGTTTATGAAGTGGTGTAGGGCAATTAAACTTAATCTCCCAATGGCAGAAAAGTTGTGGAATATACAGGGGGTTGTATTTTACCTTCTACTTCAAAGATGGAGATAGGGAAGGAAAACAGAGGTCTTAAAATTTAGGAAGAGAATAGGATATGGCTCTGATATTATTAAAATCAGTTTGCTTACCAGTAACAGAGTGTTTATTACCTCAGGCTCAGTCATTCTCATGTGATGAATTGAGCTTGTTCCAAGGCTGGCATCTGTCTGTCTGAAGTAGTCCTACAATGTGTTCCATGGATATGAAGGATGCCAGCTCGGGGGTGGGGGGTCCACCAGTTCCAGGCATAAGCTTCACTCTCTAGTGCATTTCTCTCCAGAGATCCAGCTGGCTTCAGAGGAAGCAGGGTGCAGCCTCCAGAGCAGGGTGCATTCTTGATGTCTTCTTGCCTGAGCCTCTAGGGTACCTCTGTCTTTGAAAAATTTCTACCAGAGTATTAGCTGCCATTGGAAAATATTTTTTCTGCTCCTGGGGCCCATTGTTGGCCCCATCTCCTCTCTTCCTTCTATCCCCATTGTTATCAAAGACCTTGAAGGTCAGGTTTGTAATTCTATTCTTGGAGTTTGAGGCTTCTTTACAAGTTTATACCAAACATCAGGGATTGACTGGGAGATGAAGTACACTGCCAGGATAAATTGCCTCTCCCTGATGTCAGGATCTCTTCTTGGCTGTTTTCTTTCTGAGATATATATCAGATAGATATATATATCTATCTTTGAGCCTTGCTCTGGCTCAGGCTGGTCTGTGTGTGTGTATATATGTATGTATGTATATATAAAGGCTTGGCAATATATATTGAAAGGCTTGGCTAGGTCAGGGAGGCATAGTTCAGGGGCCACTTGCAGTCTTTTTTTTTTTTTTTCTTTTTTCTTTTTAGCCTTTCAAAAGTGTTTTGTTGCTTAGAGTTCTACTTTGTCAGCTCTCTGTCACCCCCATTTGAGGCTTCATACAGAGGTCTACCCAATACTGCAAAACTTGGAGTCCGTATGTGGCAGAATTTCATTGTGCCTAGAAATTCTCTAATCTGTTTCATTGTTTTTGGGACTGGGATATTTTGGATAGCTTGTTTTGTTCTACCTCCAGTTTCTGCTCTTCCAGTCAAGAGGGTAAATCCTAAGTATTTCATCTGCCTCTGACAAGGCTAGGCCTTTTTCTAAGAGACCTTAATACCCAGAGGCCCCTCAGGCCAGGCAAAGCACTTCCTTTAAGTGTTACTAATTTTAGCTAATATTACCTTGGAAGCTTGGCCCCTGAGCCAAAGAGGGGGCGGGGGAGGAGCTGTGACACTAGGTGGAGCCAAGTATCTAAGTATGGAAACTGATCAGACTGGCCAGGGTCCGAGTAACCAGAGACCACACCTTCTGCTCTGTAGGTTTGTCTAAGCCTCTGTATAAGGGCCATCCCATCCCAAATGCAGGCCATTCCTGCTTACACAAAGTTCTCAGATTCCCTGGAGACATAGCTATTTTATAGTTCCCTGTAAATCCTTTGTTTTTATTATTCCCTTTACAGAGGCAGCCAATCCCTCCAGTTCCTTTTGCCCCTCTGAGAACCCTGCCTCATGGAGGTCAATTCCTTTTGTCCTTGTTTTTTTTTTTGGCCAGGGCTGGGTTTGAACCCACCACTTCTGGCATATGGGGCTGGCACCCTACTCCTTTGAGCCATAGGCGCCACCCACCTTTTGTCCTTGTTACTGAGACTCCCTCCACAAAGAGGTGATCACTCTTAGGAACAGGCTTTACTAGTATTATGCCCCCCTTTCTTTGGGACAGAGTCTCACTTTGTCACCATCAGTAGAGTGCCATGGTGTTGCAGCTTACAGCAACCACAAACTCTTGGGCTTAAACAATTATCTTGCCTTAGCCTCCCAAGTAGCTGGGACTACAGGCGCAGACAACAATGCCCAGCAATGTTTAGAGATGAGGTCTTGCTCTGGGCTCAGGCTGGTCTGGATTACAGGCATCAACCACCACCCCTGGCCTGTATTATACCCTTTTTAATCCAGTCCTCCTTACCTAAGTCTGGATGTGTTTCCCTGGTGCATTCTCCTGGTTTGTTCTCCTTTTGATGAGTTACTGCCATGGAGGACACCATGGGACTCTTCTGCTGCTCTGCTCAGACACACCCCTTTCCCAACCAACATGGGAGCATTCTTATGGAATGGGGTCAGTCCGGGCACCGGGACAACCTCACAAGGGGCTGTACTTGGGGAAGCCCCCAGAATCTCTTGTTCTGAATCTGCCTGCTCACTTCCTGGTCAGGGAACCAGAAATGTTGCAGGATGGGCCAATAGAAATGAACAGACTCTCACCAACGATTATAGGGGAAGGAATTTTATTTTAGCTGGTGGAGCCACAGCAGATTAGAATCCAAAATGCCCAAGCTCCCTGATCAGCTCTGTTCTTGTCTTTTATTGGACTCACAATAAAAGGAATAAGGATAAAGGAATTGTCATATTACCTCTCACTGGAGGTGTCAAATCATGTGTAGGGTTTACAAAAGTGGAAGCAACCAGCAAGTGTTAGTTTTAAGAACCTAGGAAACTGGCTCAGTGTCTGTAGCTCAAGCACCTAAAGCGCCAGCCACATACACCAGGTTCGAATCCAGCCCAGGCCTGCCAAACAACAATGACAACTACAACCAAAAAATAGCCAGGCACTGTAGCAGGCGCCAGCTACTTGGGAGGCTGAGGCAAGAGAATTGCTTGAGCCCAGGAATTGGAGGTTGCTGTGAGCTGTAATCCTACCGCACTCTACCCAGGGCGACTGCTTGAAGCTCTGTCTCAAGGAAAAAAACAAAAAAAACCTAGGGAACTAAATTTTACAAATTCTTAAGAGTTAGGTTACCATGAGGAGGACCTTGCAATAGCGTCCTGGGCTTCTCTGAAAAGCGTTTGTTTTTTAGACTTTACTTTTTCCGGATATCCTCCTTTAACACAAATATCTAATATCAGATAGTGATAAACGTTACAAAAAATAAGGTGGGGTGTTATGGAAGGTCGGGGGGGGGCATTTGAACAGAAAGCAAAAGAGCCTTGTGGATATCAGGAAAAAAGAGATATTTTCATAATCTGCCAATCTTTCTTAATTCTATTTTCCAACCATTTAATACTTGCATAATCAAAGCAAATCAACAAAGCTCTTTCCATTTCAGAAAAAGATCTGAAGCCTAAGACTTTTTTCGGGATAAGACGTGGAGAAAGCAGGAGTGGATCTGAACGCGTGTAAAGGAGATTCCCGGACATGGCTTCTCTGAATCCTTCCCCAATCCCCGGCCCCAGGACATCGGCCATGTCGCAGCTCTGCCTCTTACTCTACGACTGCAGACGACTGCATCCCGCCAGGCGCAACCTGCTGAATGGCCCAGGGAGGGAAAATCGCCACGGGAGGTTCCGTGCCCCTCACAGGATCAAATTTCGCAAGAAACTCCTCGGAGAAGCAGGATTCAAGAGCCTGGAAACTAATCTCCCCAGCCCGAGCTCCAGTTTCTAACACCTGGCCTCTAGGCCCTCGACCCTCTAGCTGGAGCGGAAAGAGACGGGGGCGGAAGGAAGCGTTCATACCAGCGCATCCCTTCCGGCGGAGCCAGCGCTCCACGCCAGCTTCGGCTTCCCCATTTTGCCGAGGAGCAGAGAAACGTGAAGGAAAAGCCGAGATGAAGGAGTTCACAGAGAATCAAGTCCGAGCCCCGCCGTTCATCCCGGGTGTCTCACGCGTTCAGTGTTGCTAGCCTGAACCGAACATTCTTTGGCCAGGTTGCAGAACGTTCAATGGACGAACGGCTTTGTGGGAGTTGTAGTCCTAAACGCTCGCCCGGACACCAGAGCTATGCCGTCCTCCCGGCAAGCTCCGCGCGGACTTCCGGCGCCTGGACCTGGCTGCGGAACTGGGAACGCCTGGGCGGCCGTGGGAGGGGCGGGGACCTCTTACGCGGGCCGCCGGGTTCCGAGGTTTAGCACCCGGCTCCAGGTGGCCTAGGCCGGCGCCAGGAGGCGGAGGACGGAGGGGGCGCACCCCTTCGCCCACTAGATTCCTGGGCAAACGCCCCTGCGTGACCGCTGACCGCCCCACCGCTCCCTCAGCTCCGCGCAGGCGAGGCTGCTGGGGACAGCTCGGGGCTCCGGCGGGGTCAGCGTCCCCGCCTACACGTCCTGCCCAGCGGCCCTGGTGAGTCCTGGCCCTTTCCTAGGAGTCTCTCGGTCACTGGAGGATGAGAATGGCGTGTGTATCTTTCAGGGGTCGTGTGAGGAAGAGAAGAATAAATAAAATGCTAGTGTGTAGTAGAGAAGAACTGGAAACAATCCGCATGATCTTGGGTACTCGTTCGGAATCTGGAACACACTCGGAAGCTCGTAGTGCTGCTAGTGAACCACTGCTAGGTGGAAAAAGCAAATTGCAAAATAGTATGTGCAGCAAGATCTCATTTATGTAAACACATCAAGCACATTTTTTTCTTTTGTTTCTATGGATAACATTTTTAGTAATATCATGGCCTTTAGGGGCACGTGTGGCCTTTTGACTGTATCCAAATTTTACAGAACAAATTCTTTTCATAAAGGGATTTGTTCTGTGAAGTTTGGATTCGGTGGACCGACCAGATCTGGAGTGCCACATGTGGACTTGAGGCAGCAGGTTCTGTGCCTCTGGCTGGGATTTCATATGTCAGAATGTTAATTGAGGAGTGTAACTGTTGAGGAAGGAAGAATTTCTTTTTGTTTAAATCTCCCTCTCTTTTGTTATGATGGTTTGTATTGCTTTTATTGTTGAAACAAAAAAACAAGAAAGAAAATTCCAAAATACACTTTTCAAAATCATTGTAATGAGTAGCAATGTAAGTTATAAATGTGTGTCATACATTCATATGCGTCTGTGCATAAATGGCTTTGGATGATGTCTGACATCCTCCCTCCCCAACCCCCAGGCCAGATGTTTTTTGGAATTCAGAAGTTTTCAAATTTGAGAAAGAATACAGTGCACATGTGGTATAATATCAAGA